GGTATAGGCAGGCTTTGGATTTTGGAAAGAAGGATCTTATGGTTGGCGGAATCGAAGGCCTTTGAAAAGTCAAAAAGGGTTAGGATAGAAATTGTTTGTTTATCTACGGTGGATGGTAGGTCTTTGGTAATCTTTAGCAAGGCAGATTGGGTAGAATAATGGGAACGGAAACCAAATTGTAATGGATTGCGAAGACAGTTTTGCTCAAGAAAGTTTTTGAACCGAGAGAATGAACTATTCTTTCCAGTGGTTTGTATAGATTGGATAATATGGAGATGGTTCTGAAGTCGGAAGATGAGATATATGATCTATGACTTTTAAAATTTTACTTCAGCATGCACTGTTTTTAAGATAAGAGAAATAAAATATGTTAGAAAGTGAGGGGAGGAGGGAGGTCATGCGTTATCACGCGCTCCGCCAGGGGCACTAGCGGATCCAGGATTTAGTTTTTGGGGGAGGGGGCTTCAGCCCGACAGTTTTTTTTTTCCTCATATATATATATATAACGATAATTAATTTGAAAAAAAGAAATTAATTAATTATCTATATGAAATGGTGTTTAAGTGGTTCTTGAAGTCCTATTAAACGTAATTACACCAACAAGAATACTTTAAGAGATAGTATAAAGTATTTTTTTTCAGTAAAATATGGTTACATTTTACCATTTTGGGGGAGGGGGAGGCTTCAGCCCGAAAGCCCCCTCCCCGTAGATCCGCCTGTGGCCAGGGTGGAGGATGGGCATTCCTGGTTATGTGTATGACTTACAGAGATAAATAGAGTTTATAAATGAGAAAGAGAGATCATTTGTGGATTTTCGAGCTAATCTGCGTAGAGTTGGTCATGACATAACCCAATTTGGTAATGTTTCTGAGAATATAGAGTATGTGGTCATGACCTGAACTGCATTTGAGGTGCTTAGGTCCACGAGAATCACAAGAATATTCAAACTGAGGAGTTTATTGTATTGGTGAATGAGAAAACTTCCTGTTGTTCAAGAATTTATCTATGCTTGCAGTAAGTTCTTAACTACCAGGTTCGCTCACTCAGAAATGCGTGGTGGAGGAACTTGAAACGTGACGTAAGGAATAGACCGTGAGACCTACCTAGTACTCTTTCAAGACTATCAATGAAGGCTTATTTCAACATTATTGTGCTTTCTTTTTTCTTGTTTAATTTATTGAGAAGAATACTTTTCTGTGTTTTTGAAGTTTGATTGAAGATAATTTCTAGTAGATAAATAAATAAATACAGCTATCAATCTAGAATAAAATGCTATGAGAATTACGGGCCAGGCCTGAAACGAAAAGAACGAAATTGATAATAAGATTATTTATAAATTCTTTATTTAAAAATCTCTGTAAATAATATATAAATATATTACATAAATAGAAAAAACTAAGATTTATATTTATTTAGAGAACATTTTAGCACAATGTTTGTGTAATTTTATTTGTAGATCTCGTGAGTATTTCTTTTAATATTATAACGATATTATAATAATATTATAAGGATGAAGATCTTTGTCAGGATTTGCAGTCAAAATTTCTTTAAATAAATTTATTAAATTTTAAAAAATAAACAAATTTTACTGCAAATCCTGACAATTTATTTTCATCTTATAATCTTAACACTCAACTACTTATCCGTCTCTAAAATAATATTATAACGATTATTTATTTTTTATTTTTTATAACTTGTTACAGAGAATTCGTTTGTCCTTATTAGTATTTCTTGTATTTCTCATAATAACATAATTATTAATAGAACCAACATAAAATCAAAGCCAAAAAAATTGAGAAAAATCACTACATAGGATTACTTATGACATAAAAATGTAATATTTACAAATATTCACAGAAAGAAAACACTTCTTTAATGTTAGATTAAATACTTTTTTTTTCAATATTTCTATTATTATATATTATGCTGTATATTTATTTGAAATATTTAAAAAGTAGTATTGTGGCACTTTGCAAAAAATCTTACATCAACTTGTTAAATTACATTTTATTTGCTTCAGAATAAACCAAATATCAAATCAACCTTTCTCTCACCTTTCAAATTTATTAAAATTAATAAGTTATTTGGCAATACAGTATTGATTTAATGTATAAAAGTAAATAATAATTTTAAAATGTCCAGAAACAAAGGCCGGAGGGGTAAATTCAGTCTTTTGGCTACGTCAGAGCTCGATTCCTCCCCACCATTTTCCCTCTGAGTGAGCGAACCTGGTAGTTTTACTGACCTTGGTTCTTCATATTTAAATCTTGGAAGCCAATGGAAGGATATAACTGGCGTGAGAAGATCAAGAATACTGATTAGATTGAGCCAATGGAGATAATTCTTCAAAATATAGTATCCTTTACCATTAGTGAAATACTACTACCTGATCTCATATTGCTCACTAGACAAGGAAGGTAAGCGAAGGAAATAAAAGATCCACCTTTACTTAAAAAATTATTCCTTCGATTTGGACAAAACTTAGACTTTTTGAAACAATTGATCCAGTATAAATTTCATAAAATTATATCCCCTAAATTCGGTTTCGTGTGCTAAAACGTATCCATTGATACTTTTACGATTCAAAAAGGCTTTTCCCATTTGGACCATAGTTGAGATTATTATGTAAATCGTCTAGTATAAGTTTCATCGAATTCCATTTATTTAAATTATAGGAAATGTTTAGACCTGGGTAGAGTCCCATTCACAGATTTATGGATGGTAACGCTGTTCCTTTATTCTTTATATTAATATCTCCACCTCCTCACTTATACTATCGCTCATTTTATATTTATATGAGCTTAATTGAGGAAGTAATGGAAGGTTTGAAGTTCTTGTAAGTTAGTTGGTCTGCTTGGCTATACCTTGTGTCTTACAGCCAGTAATTCTTTGATTTCGAATGAAATTTACGAATCAACCATCCTGCATTCAGAAAAAAATTTCCTTTCATCCCCACACTTATTGTGTCACATTTCCTTAAATGTTTTAGTAGTTCAAGAAATACAACTAAACATATTTTAACCAGAGTGAGAAGGTCGAGATTCATTCATGTGTCTTACAGAAAATACATTTCAACCCATCCAAGCTGAATTCGAACCGGCGTCGCTAGACTCAAGAATGTTAACGCGGCCAATGCTCCAATATGTTCGACAATTACGATCTCCAAATTTGAAATACCTTTTTTCGTTTTCTCGATCCATTCAAAATAACATTAGTTCAAGCAGAACTTATAAAAGAGTTTTTTTTTTCCTGGAACATTCATCCATTTTAGGATAAATTTATTTTTTCCATGTTTTCGAAGGCACCAACTAACTGATTTTAAAATTTCAACACTAAACATTTCTGCCTCCATCTCTTCAAACTTACAAAATACCCGTTTGCCGAAAAGTACATTACACCTAAACACTAGCGGATCCAGGATTTAATTTTGGGGGAGCGGCTTCAGCCCGAAAGATTTTTTTTTCATATATATATAACGATAATTAATTAGAAAAAAAAGAAAGATATGCACTACCTATATGAAATGGTGTTTAAGTGATTCTTGAAGCTTTATGTAATTGTATACAAACAATAATACTTTAAGAGATAGTTTTTATAACTTTTTTCTATAAAACATGGTTATATTTTACCGTTTTGGGGGAGGAGGCTTCAGCCCGAAAGCTCCCCCCCCCACGTAGATCCGTTTGTGCACCTAAATAATTGCCACTAATTTTAATATGTGCCGTTTCACAATTGAATTTTTATGAAAGGGAACTACATAAGAGTGTATTTAGGATACCGATATATAGTATAGTGTAGATATATGCGGATACCAATCTAAAGGCTTCTACTCACAGAATGCGATATGTCCAAGTGATACAACATCCCTTTGTCATTATTGATGCGGATTACCGCACTCTGCGTGACTGCTGTAATTATATATGTAGAAATACAATTATATCACCATATCGTTGCAGACAGGATTATCGTGTAGTCGAGATATATCGCTCTCTATGTATAGTCTTATTGGCAGCGACAACTAGTTTATCCTGTAATCCATTGCAGAACTGCTTATTTGCAAATAACTCGAAAAGTAAATAGTTTTTGGTGGATTAAACATATATGATCAATTGATAAATGAATCGATTTCTCACAAAATACAAAAATATCGAAGTCTGAAATAAAATATTTTGGAGCAGTATTAGCAAATATATAGTGTTGTACGCATGTTTCGGGTATATTAATTTTTTTAGTTTTTTAATTAATTTAATTTTTTAGTTAATATTTTAGTTTTTTCGGGTATAAACCTTCTTTTTTTTTTGTCATCCCATACGAACGCAACGCTCCTCGGCTTCGGTAGAGCTGAAAGCTTCAGTTACTCAACGAATCACAGGCGGATTTACGGAGGGGGGAGGGAGGGAGACTTTCGGGCTGAAGCCCTCCCCAAAATGGTAAAATATAACCATGTTTTATGGAAAAATATATTAAACAATTATCTCTTAAAGTATTATTGTTCGTGTAATTACATTTAAAAGGACTTGAGGAATCACTTAAACACCATTTCATATAGATAGTTTCTTTCCTTCTTTTTTTACAAAGTAATTATCGTCATTTTTATGAAAAAAAAGGCTTTCGGGCTGAAGCTTCCCCCCCCAAAAAATTAAATCTTGGATCCGCTAATGGACATAGAAGCCTTTTTTCATACATGATTTGGGAAATAATAGAACATTTTGTGATGATTTGCAGCTCTTAAAATAAAAACGTTGATAAACTTGGTTGATTCATTAAATTTAAAATAATGTTATAATTGAGTCTACCAAACCCTTACATGTGATATAGTTTAAAACCACTATTAAGTTATTAATACTTACTTTTCATATTAAAGTTTAATGATAGTTTTATCCTATATTATTTTTTTATGGAAGTATTTAGAAATACTTGATAATTAAATTATAAATTATTTTAAAATGTTTATAATAAGGCAACACTGAGTTGTTTGGCCATTGTTTACCGGCTCACGAGAAACCTCGAAATATTATAACCTATACTGCTATCTGCCAATTTTATTGTATTTGGGGCCATCCAATGCTGGAACAATAAACAGCCATGTCTTTGTGTAGCTTGTTTTAAGACAAGCGAGTATTATGGGGAAAAGGACGTTCCACAATTATCTTAATTTTAAGTTTTTACCACTAAATTGACACGAACCTATGAAATAACTGAGGAATAGTCTAATGTTAGAAGTGGTTAAATGTAGCTCACAGTATTTTTGCGCGTTTTTGATGCGATTAAAAGGTCTATTTTTGCATGAAGTTACATTTTATAAGAGTTAAACGGATTTGGTTTATTCATTAGTTTCTGAATTAAGCCATAGTACATATGAACACTGTTTTGATGGTTTATTTCTTAATTTATGAATTCAGTTTTACTTAAAGTTCAAGAAAATAATCTGTGATTTAAGAATTCTTGAAATTCCAATAAACAATGGATAACCAATATGGTAATGATGATCTTAGGAGAAGTGCTGCGGCACAGTTTTTCCTTGATGAAAAGGGTCCTGAAGGATACAAACTCCGAGAAGTGAGTATAATGAATGGAGTAATTTGCATTAAGCCATTACTATTGTTTAAAATTCAATAAATCTATTTGAATATGTGTTGTGGTTTTTTAGAAGGTTTTTTATTTCTAGTAAGTTTTTAATCTAAACTGATATATTCTCTTAGTGATGTTAAATTTTTTATTTGCTATCAACAAGTAAATTAATGCTGCAGGTGTTATTGTTCTTTTTTGTCAAATATAGCCTAATACGGTTTTGGATGTTTGTAATAATACTCAGGGGATATTTAGATTAAATCTTCTATGTACATTTGCTCAGTCTATTAATTTTCTCAAGATGGAGAAGAACTACTAAACCTATTTATTTTGATTACTTTCTACATTTTATTAGGATTTGACTCTGAAAAAGCAGAGTATGATGGTAATAAAGCTTTGGTTCCGAACTCTTGGGCAAAGTTTTGAATCCTAGTAAATCAGACAGAAAATCCACTTAGGTGTCAGAAATGTTGTGTAGTAATATTACTGCCTCAAAGACTACACCACCTTCTGGAACCATTAATCAAGATTTAGTCATTTCTTGTTGAGTATTTCTTCCTATGTTATTAGTGTACAAGTTTAACTATTATTATTTTTTATCTTTTTATTAATTGCCTTAGTTATACAAGGTACATACAGGGTTGGCTTATTGTGGTTTTCCCTCAAGGTTTAGTATTTTTTATTAGGTTGCAAAAGTTTTTAGTTCTTTCCATTAGCGTGTAAAAGTGTTGGCAGTTTTTGTTTTCTTTTTGGTTATTTGCTTAATTTTTTCATCTACTGCTTAATGCATTCAATATTTAGATCAGATGAGAAATTGAACATATAAATGAGTGGAGAAAAAATTAGTTTGAAAATACACCTTGAATTTTTAAAATTAAGTTATTTACCATTTGTGAAGTACAACAATAAGCTAATAAAAATATGCTCCAATGGCCAGTTATCTTTCATTGTGATATTATATTCTAGCATTCTAGTTCTATAAGGTCTAGAATATAGAATGTTCTAGCATTGTGAATAAATTAAAATACCGAGCCGTATTTAAAGTTGGGTTGTTGCTAGGTCTCTTCTTACATCAAGTCAATTATTCTCACCAATTATTTTAATAATTATGTAATTCAATTTAATGAAAAAAAAAGAAGGTTATGTTGACTGGGCTTGGTGGTAAAACCGAGTTAGAGAATTATAATTTTAGAGAATAAAATATTGAATTAATAATTTTGGATACATTTTTTATTGTTAAATGTTTTTGTCTGTTTTAAGTTTGCTTGTTAATTAATTTGACTTGATGTTTTAACTAATTTAAGTAATGTTAAAAAAGATTAGATAAGCCTTTATTTTTTTTTTTTTTATAAGTTTCCTTCATGTTATTCTAGAGACCTAGTTTTGGTTACTATAGCCGAGAAATAAGAATTAAACATTTTAAAGGTTTAAAGTGGATGGATTTACAGGAAGTTTTATTAAACATGAACTGGTAATCCTTGGTACCTGATATAATTGAAAAATTTGATTTTATTGGGTATAGATCCCTTTTTATCAAGTTATTAACTTCTGTTTGAAATTTAATAAATAGCTTTGTCTCATCGTAACCTACAAATATTTTATTTGCGAAAATTCTCTTAATTGGGACATTTTCATTCTGAAGATTGACAAACTTTTTCTATTTAATGAAGACTCATCTTACTTAAATTGTAAGATAATTTGATCACAAAATCGAAAAAAAAAAAGATGGTATACAAAATTATTGGCCCGTTTGACCTATATAACCTCATTATTTTGGCATTTTGAAGATGGAGGTGACACCAAACTGCCTAAGAATTTTGAAGGCCATCCCTTTTTTTTATTTTGTGACAATGTCTCACAATTCAAGTGGAAAGCAAATGGTTATTTATGAGTTTTTAGTACCTCATTAAATAGACAAAGTTAGCCGATCTCCGGTTTGAAAACGCCCCAATTCCAAGAATCGGAGAAATAAAATATTTGTAGGTTATTATGAGATAAAGCTATTTAAGAAGTTTCAGGTGGATGTTAATAATTTGATAAAAAGAGGTCTGTATCATGGACTAATAGTTTTCTTTATCCAAAAAAAAAAAAATATTCTTGGTACTGATAGTAGGAGAATATAACAGAATTTTTTCAATGATTTATAGAACAATCATCCTATAATAATGTGTAAAATAACTTTTGGATAAGACCCTTGTTCTCTACAACACAGCATTATTTTTAGTGCAAAAGGTCATATGTAAAAATTGAGTGTTCTTACTAGAGAGTATAATAACTATTATTCTCCATTCTACAAATGTTATAAGTAGTCTGCTTCTATGGAAAATATCAGAGGGAGATAAAATATGAAATTATATGAATAAATCGTAAAGAAATAGTCAGTTTTTATGCTCTCTTGTAAAACAATTAATTTTTACTCATGACCTTTTGCACTAACAGTAGCGAAATTTAATTTTTTAAGTAATTTACTTTTATTAAGTGTTTAACATTAAACTTTAAGAGAGGAACTAATTGTCACCATTTTTATTTGTAGATTGTTAATTCAATTAATGAGGCAGTTATGATTAGCGATATTAATGAAAAACTCGAGAAACTGCAGAAAATCCAGGCGCTTATACTGAGTGGCCCAGATCTACTTGAAAGATTCCTTCCGGATATCCTTGGGTTTCAAAGTGACAGGAACGCTGAGGTTCGAAGATTTGTTGTTGGTTTTATTGAAGAATCCTTGTAAGTACTATTTTTTTCTTATTTTGTAATTCATATTTTTTGGTTCTTTTAATTAATCTTAAGCAATTTTTTAGCAAACGCAATTCTGAAATCTTGCCTCACATTATTGGAAATATACAAGCACTTGTTCAAGATACTGCTCCAAGAGTGCAGAAACGTGTTGTCCAGTGTGTAACACAACTTTATCGTCATACGCTTATGTGGCTTTCGAAAGCACAGTCTGTGAATGAGCAAATGCAAACAGTTTGGACGATTCTGGTTAATATTAAAGCTTTCATTATCAATATGGTTGATAGTGATAATGATGGGTAAATTACCTTCATTATATATCTAATTTTATTTTTGTGTTTTAAAACCATTTTAATTACTTTATTGTTTCTTATAGTTTGAGAACACAAATAGTAAAATTCTTGGAAATGATTGTCTTACTTCAAACTTATCGTGAACCGGATAGTACAAATAGAACTAATGACTTTTCGCTTGAAGATGTACCTTTAACATTAAAAGTCGCAAGAAGAAGGAAATTAGAAGAAGAGGCAATGTATGTATCTGGTTATCTTTGAGTATAATATATTTTTTCAAAAATTAATTTTGACTTTGAATTCATCTTTTTTATTTTTTTAGGACGGTTTTTGATCTCATGTTAAAATTCCATGGTTCACCTCATATCAGTAGTGCCAATCTAATGGCTTGTATGGGCTCTTTAACAACTATTGCAAAGCTTCGCCCAAATTTCATGGGTAAAGTGGTTGCAGCATTGGAAACATTACACAGTAAGTTAATTTAATTTGTTTACCTTTACTTGATAGCTAAGTTATATTTTTATATAAAAATATGAAGTTTTTATTTATTTATTTACTTATAGTCCACTGTATAGACCCTTTTGACTTTTCAACGTATACTAAGTAAGGAAAGTATTGCGATCAAGTCAAATTTCTGATGTGCGGTTTTCGGCGGATCTATCTGTTTCAAAGCCCACTGAGTCCAAAAAAATGTATTTTCAGCCATTGCTCTGTCTGTCTATGCCAAGATTATCTCGGGAACTAGTAGACCAATTTTGTTGCTTATTTTAGTTATTTTGGTTGTGACTACTGGCACAAATTGGCTACTCCCTATGTAATAGCGCCTGCGTAATAAGTAGAAAACATATTTTTCAATAGACTGTAACGCAAAAACTGCTCTTAATGAATTTGATTAAACTTTCCTATAGTTTTCTAATTAATGTCCTTTCAATTTTCATACATGTTCACAATTCCCCATAAAATTCAGGATAAAAAGTTGTAAAGATAAGTAAAATGTTTTGGGACCTAACTCGCTAAGTATAAATTATATGAATTATTGAAGGAAGTTAGTCGACTGTTCTACATATCATGGGTGATAAATATTCAGGACGCAGTCATTATATAAAGATTTTATTGGTGCCGATGTTTCAACCCAAACATGTGGGTCATCATCAGCGCGTGTTTCGAGCTCTGAAGGTATTTAAGTATTGACACTTTGGTAGGTAGGTGTCCACTTATACTACCTATACTAGGTAAGGAAAGTATTGCGATCTGGATTTTTGAAACGTAATAAATTTCCTGCAAAACTTTATAAACATCGTTCATTTTGGATTTATAGAGTTCAAATCCTAGTGCAAGAAAGAGATGAAAGAGGGAGAGAAAAAAAAGTATATGAAAATAAAAAAATCTGGTGTGCACATTACTTAAGTTTCACTTTCCCCTCTACTTTTAACAGAAATTATTGTCTGACATAATTGGGCTATGGAAAATAATATTAGAGTGTATTGAATTTTTTATGCTGATCTTCCACAAGCCGGTTTACATTACTTTAACAAAGAAGATGTACTCAAATTTTTTCTTTGGTCAATTTTGAGGAAAATAAATCTAATTCAATTTTTTTTTTTTTTTTAATTGACATATTTAAAGATGTAAAACACAAAGATATTTAAAGAACAAATAAAAACTTTTCAGAATAAAAATATTGTGTTTTCAGTCTGGAGTTCTGTAAACTTTGTCATTTTAATGAAGTACTAAAAACTCATGAACGCTCATTTGCTTTCCGCCTGAATAATAAGATAATTTGGTCCCTCCTAAAATACCTAGTTCTGCTATAAGTATTGTTACAAAAGTTGAACTTTGTTTACATCCTTGGGTATTATTTAGATAACCCTTACCTCTATCAGGTTATTTTGTTTACATGTCAGAATAATAATCCCAATTAGTTTGTATTTTTCTTTCGCTCAGTTAACATGGAGTGGAATGATAAAGAATAGCTGTGATCGCCTTACACAAAGTTGGAAAATGTAGGTCCGAGATTTTCAACACTTTGAAACCTTTGAGTATCAGCTATATGTTTGTGTACCGCACTATAAATAGATATAATGAGACCCTATCTGTATGTGACTGACCTCATCCTCGCACTGTGAGAACCGCAAATGCAGTGAAAGCAGTGGCTGATTGATTCAGAAGAAATCTCATTCGAAAACAGCAAATCATGTATCGGGAAATTGGAATCAATGTTCCGCATAATGAAAAGTGACCTTAGGATGGATGCATTTCGAAGAATGACAGAATGACAAAGGCTAACCACTTCTCCTAAAAAAAATTAGAGTGGATAGATGCAATGTGCTCCTAGGCCGTTACACCAATGGTTTTCATCGAAAGATTTTGTTTAGCGATGAGAAAATTTTGTCAATTGAAGAAAAATTTAATCGTCAAATTGATTGTGTTTGCTCACACAGCTCTAAAGAAGCCCAGAAAGTCATTGGAAAAGTGGAAATATGTCATCACCCTTCCTCAATGATGATTTGGTGAGGAGTTTGCTTTGATGGCACCACAAAGCTCCATTTTTGTGAAAAAGTAGTCAAAACGGCAACTAAAAACTTGAGTCCGTAACTCTTGGCAATATGGCTAACTTTTTATTTTTATTTTCAGTAGCTTTAATTTTGATGGCTCTATTTATTCTAAAATTTTGTATGATAATGGTTCTATGGGTAAGTTTTTTGGTACTTCTTCTCTAGGGGGCCACTCCTGACTGCTAGCTGCCAATGTTTATAACCTCAACACTGATAACTCCCATAACGCAGTGATAAGCCTTCTCCTACTTCATGTCTTCGTATTATTGTATTAAATTCGTATTATTGAAAGTGTAAACAGATACAAAAACAAATGTAATAACAAAAAAATACTTTTATTTGACAACACATATATTAATGAAATAATAAAAAAAAAACTTTAAGAAGATATGTACATATAAAACATGAAAATGAAATAAAATAAAAAAACACATTTAAAAGAACATATTTACATAGAAAAGAAAAAATATAAAATATAAAATCTGTTTTATAAAAAGATAAAACATTCATCTGTTTCTCGGCTAACTCCACCAAACATCTACTGCTGAGGTAAAACTCTCTCCACATGATTTTTTTGTTTAGAAAAAATACTTTCGTCTACTTCAACCACTTTGCCTCTTCCTCCAATATTTTTTCTTGTCCTGTATAACATGTCATGGGCACAAACCTCTCTTAGACATTTGTTCCATGTTACCATTGCTCCGTAGGATAGTTTCAGCTGCTCTTTGCCCCACTTCATCGTTGTCAAGCTATGGGACCACCCATAAATCAATTTTAAAGCTGTTAAAAACGAAATCCTCGAGCCCTCCAACCATGTTCCTTTCCTTATTGAAAGTTTTGTGTCATAAGTCCTACGAAAGCATCTCCATTTGGCCTTCCTGGTTAACTTCATTCGATGACCTCGTTCACACAATTTCACGTCGGCAAGTACCCCAACATTTTGAAAATATTGAATTGCCTGTTCTTCTGAAGGCGGCAAATCCCATATTCTAAGAAGATCCATAATATGACGAAAATAAACGGAAAAAAATGAAAAATAAACACAAAGGGGCCAAAAACTAAAAAAAAATGTAAAATAAACACAAACGGACCAAAAATTAAAAATAATGAAAAATAAACACAAACGGGCCAAAAGTAAAGAATTTAAAAAGTGAACGTAATAAGGGAATAACTGAAAACTAAAAAATGCAATAACTCAAAGGTTTGGCGGGATAAGAAGAGGGAGGTTATGTGACGTGACGTTAGATAAGATAGATAAGAAGTGAGGTTTCAGTCCGGCCCCCTAGACAAGAAGTACCATTTTTTTAAAAATATGTATTTATATATTTTTATTTCAGTGAATCTTCCGCCTACGCTATCTACATCTCAGGTTAATTCAGTTAGAAAACATCTAAAAGTTAATTTGCTTAATTTGTTGAAGCATCCTTCAGCATCTGAATATCAAATGAATATTACTACTTTGCTTACTGATTTGGGGGCAACAACACATGAGGTTTGTATAATTTTACTGTTTTATCTTTATAGATCTTGTACTTCCGACCTCTATCCTCCTCCTTACCGAACTGCTGCGTTTGAAAAATCCTTTGCAATACAAGCCGCCTCCCTCTGGAATTCCATCCCTGCTGATATTCGACACGCTCAATCAGTTTCCTCTTTCAAACCTCTCCTCTTTAAACACCTACTCCTTTCTCAATCTGTGAAATATACTAAAATATATAATATAATATATGTGAAATATACTTAAGAGAAATATCTAAGCACCGCCAGAGACTACCTCAATTTATTAAGGTTATTTTAGTTTCTCATATATATGTACAATTTACTTGTTCTTTTCTTTCTCTTTTCAGTATTTTTATCTTTAGTCAACTCTTATTGTAAATATACAATCTAATTGTAACCACACAGACATGCAATCTGTATTTATCTTTTGTTCTAAAGGGACAACAGTCCCAGAATAATAAACATTTTTTTTTCATTTCATTTCATTTTATGAAAAATACGTCAATTTCTTTTTTCGTTTCTTTTTTTGAGATGAAGATTATTTTCTGTTGAGAGTGATCTATTTATCTTGTATTTGTATGTCTAAATAGGTTACCACTACAAAATTAGGTTTTCAAAATATTTTTAAAAACTGAATAATGATAGAGAATCTATGTCTTATCATTCAGTAATAATATAAAAACTAATTATGTTAATATCATTAGGAATAACAATACTGTGAAAAACCTATATTTTACATCAATTTTTTTCTTTGTCTAGGTTATGAAAGCATATCCCAAACTTGAAGAAGGTAGAAAACGTCTTAAAAAAACTATTGCATCAGCCCCTGCTAAAAAAGTGAGATTAGAAGAAGACATTTCGATGAACGAGTCTGCTGTTGATATTACCGAAACATTTATCACAGAAAGGCTCTCCCCTGAATTAGCTGCAAACTTGGTTATCATGGCCATGGTATTAAAATTAATATTTTTAGTATTACTAAGAAAAATGGTGTTTTTATTAAATTATATGTAAAACATTTAATTGATTTTTAGTTTTAATCTATTAAATCTGGTTCTTTATAATAGTCCATTTATTTAAATTTTCTTACTTTAACAGCATATAGTGAAATTGAAGAATCTAATAGTTTGTAATGGATATCTTCTGTTGAGATTTACATTTATTTATTTGGAAAAATTTGAGACCATAATATGTTTAATAAATTGTTCAGAATCAAATACAGTCGAATCTTCGACGATTAAAAATCTCCTGCTGTTAACTTCGGTAAATCGAAAAAATGATGTATTTTGATAGTTTGTTAACTTGAAATCCTTTTCGTAACAAGAGAGGGAGAGAACGTTCTATAATTCGAACTAGACCGTTTCCCCTCTTCACAATTTGAAATTTTCCTGGTAATATTTTTTACATGAGGCTATTTATATATAAAATTTATATTCTATTCTATTAAGTCGGGGCGACAACTCGATATTGTGTCTTGGCCTCCTGTACCAGCCTCCAACAATTGTTCCTATTCTGTGCAGCCGCAATCTAGCTTCTTATTCCCAACATGGACCTGCCATCATTAGCCACATTGTCACTCCACTGAAGTCGAGGTCTTCCTCTACGCCTTGTTCTGTGGATTACTTCTGTCATGATTTTTTTCGGAATGTCATTCTCAGCCATTCGAGCGACGTGCCCAGCCCTTCTCAATCTATGGAGCTTCATGAAATGAACCATGTCTGGTTCTTTAAACAAATCTTTGAGCTCCTGGTTTGTCCAATGTCTCCATAAGTGGTCAACTTTCACAGCTCCGAAGATATTATGCAAAATCTTATTCTCAAAGACCATTAGATTCTGCTCGTCAGTTTTGGAGATACTCCATGTTTCTGAGCCATATAGGAGTATTGGTCTTATAAGTGTTTTATACAATAGTATTTTTTTTCCTCTGGTTAAAGCATGGCTCCTAAAATATGGACTGAGGCCATAATAACAACTATTGGAACATAGCACTCTTCGCTTTATTTGAGAATCCACAACATTATCATGAGTTATGAGGGATCCGAGATAAATAAATTCCAACACTTTTTCAATGAAGAATTCTCCGATGTTAATCCTTTGACCCGGTCTGGAATTTTCCTCGGTGACCATATATTTGGTTTTTGCAGCATTGACTTTAAGGCCCATTTTTCTTGCTGCTTCCATTAGTTTCAAGAATTCATCAGCGACTACCTGGAAAGAGTATCCTGCAATGTCAATATCATCTGGATAAGCAAGAAGTTGCACTGTCCGGCTAAATACTGTTCCGCCCACTTGAATACCAGAATCTCTAATGGACTTCTCTAAAGCTAAATCAAAGAGGAGACATGCCAGGGCATCTCCCTCCCTTAGTACTTTTCCAGAAGTGAATTCTGTATTTATATAAAACCCAAATATTTTCGAAAATATAACAAAAACTCTTAATAATTCAAATTTTTCTTCTTTCCTCTTGATTATTTAAACTTCTTGATAATTTGAAATCTCATTAATTCAAAGTTTTCTTGTAGTCTCTTGGAAATTGGAATTATCAAGAGTCGACTGTATTAGCTAGATTTTATGTATAAGAGGCATTTGTTTAATTTTTTAATTTTATGTATTATGATTATAACAGAGTTTTATTACTTAATAAATTTATAAATCTCTTTTTCAGAATCATCTTCCGGAGTCAATGCCATCTGTTTTTAATGCAACATACACCCCGATTGCCGCTGCCGGTACGCAAGCCCAAATCAAGCATGTTGCTCGGCTGTTGGCAACTCAACTTACTGCGGCTGGTCTCGGCCCGGGTGCAACTATAGCCAAGACACAGAAACCTGTTCTGGTATTTTGATATTTTATTTTAGTTTCATTATAATTGTTTTATGCTTATTGTGCAATTTATTTTTATATCTGTACCCCAGAGTTAAAGAACGCCATGTCCATTTTTGTATTTGTTCATGGAAGCCAACATTCTATGAGGTATTAAAATTTGTTTCTTAGTTACTTAATTATTTAATGAAAAATAGACATCTTTGGCTCCAGTTTCTCGGTTTATGGAGGACTGTCTGAAGAACTGGAGATGAGATTGAAGAGATTCATGGACGTTTCATAAGATTCATCGTTAGGGTTCCCAAGCGTTCTCATGTTTCCTGCTTGTACACAGAGTTGCAGTGGCTCTATCCTATTTCCTGACGACAATTCCTTCTTGGCGTTTTCCTTTTGCAAGTCCTCAGAATCTAAAATCCTCCCTACATCCTAGAACTCTTTACTCTTTGTTGTTCTATCCACTTTCCTAATTCAAGATCTCAACCTATTGATTTAATTATTCCCTCTCATAAAATTACTTCCTTCAGCAAATCGTTCGTCATTCATGCTACCACCCTCTGGAATTCTTTACCCATCTCCGTACGGCAATCCTCATCTATAAATTCCTTCAAACAACTCTTCCACAACCTCCTTCATTTTTAAACCAACGCATCTATGTAATATTTATTGGATTCTTTAATTACGATAGTTTATTAATGATTAATCAATAAGTACCATTTGATTTTTTTTGTAATCTTGTATATATGTTAAGTAGGAGGCTTAGCGAACTCGAAAGTCGATGCCGACACCACTAATCTCTTATTACACACCTCTCTCCACCGGTCGCTGTCTAAACCCAGCCCCTTCAGATCGGCTTTAACACAAGCTTCCCATCTTTGCTTTGGTACAGCAAATATTAACCTTTTAGGAATTCTTTCGTTACTAAGCCCAACAATTTTGCAAGCTCATTTGATTCGCCTATGTATATTTTAATCTTATAAAATTCACTTGTGTTACTCTATATAATGTATAATTCATTTAACTGAACAATCACAATTGCAGTTACAATTAACGGTTAAATGATAAGTACCTCTTTGTATTTTGTCAACCCAGACTAATTGACTCATTTTTTTTTTTTTTTTTTTTTTTTTTGTAAATTATTCTAATGGGACTTAAGTCTCAGAATAAAATTATTTTTTCATTTCATGGTGTTCTTCACCTCTGCAGCACAGATATTGACTTGATTTTTTTTTAATACTTTATATTTTGGCTTTATATATTATTTTCAATAGTGTTTTTTTAGATCAGGATATTTTTTTAACTAAATATAAAGACTGTTATTGGTCATCAAATATTCTGATCTGCTAAAACAGTTTAAAATTACTTGATAAAGGTGACTTGAATTTTTTTGTCGTTAAGCCATATCAAATCCAATGATTGAGCTCTTGTTTTAAAGATCATCTTGTTCATATGTAAAAAATAGTCATATGCCTTCAAAATTTCAGGAAAAAAATGTTATGAAGGAAAAGAAATTTTATTTGCAAATAACTTAAAAAGTATATATTTTTTGTTAGTTGTTCCCATAATAATTAAAAGATTACTAAATTTCCTACAAAACAAAAAAAAAAAATCATGAAATTTAGGCCATCATTACCTAAGATACAGGTTATTGTGATTGGTAAACATTTCTGCAAAATATTAAATTAATCGTCTTCATTTTTAGAGAACCGTTGATGATGAAGAAGAAGAAGAAAATGGAGTTGGAAATAGCAATGTTCCTGATGAAAATGTCGGTCCTGAAGAGGATAACACCAACACGAATTCCAAAACACTTCTTGCTAGTAGAACGTTTAAACAAGAAATGTATAAACCTATGTCTACAGTAAGTTATTATTAATTTAAATGAAAACATTCTTTTATTTTATTTTTTTGTTAAATAAATATTTTCTTCTTTATTTTAGGATATGCGCGAGTTCTTACAAGTAGGAGCTGTTCAAAGGATATTATCATCTGAAGAAAGTGCGATAACCGGAGGGGTAAGCAGAGTGAGATCTAAAATTTTGGCTTCATTCGCTGCTTCATTCGGCCAGAAAGTTAAGCAAAGTAAGTATCTACTGAAAAATCAGACATTGGCTTGGAAAAGACAAATTTTATTGAACTAAATAAAAAAAGAAAAGACTTCATTTTTATAAATAATCAGCATAGTGTATTCCGTGTATAAAGACTAAGAAAATAAAATAAGAGAAATTAAATGTTTTTAATTTTACAAAAAAATAATTATCGATTTCAAACCCTGTGTTTTTACTGCTCCAGACCAGTGAAGCTGTTGGCAGTACGACTGATCTAGGCTATATTATAATATCAGAGAAGAGTTTTGACGATAAGTCATGTTTCTACATTTTATTTCCTTTTTTTTCCCCCATCAAGTCAAATAAAATTAAATGCAAAAATGTTTAAATTTAAACAAAACTATAGAAAATTAGTTTTGTAGGATTGAAGTGACTAGAGTTGTTTATAAAAGGATTCGAATATATTTAAATCCAACTAACAGTACCTCAAGTAAAAACTCAAATCCAAATATTAAAAAATCAATTTGTGATTTTTTTCGTTAAAGTGCTGATCGGATATGTCTTACTAATAATAAGTAATAAATTTAAAATTAGAGATACCGTATAGTATCAATTCTTATAATATTTCTTCATATACTTTCTTTCGTGAGGCTGATATTTTCTATTTAAAATATTACAAGAAAACATCACTTTGTTGCAATAGCTGGTTATAGATTTATTTATTTTTTTCATAATGTTAATTACTCTGGAAAAAAAAAATATAAAAAGTTTTCTAGTCACATCCTTCAGGTTTGGTGCCATTTTTTCATAATTTTTTTATATATATTTTAGGCCAAAGGTCACCTAATATACATTTGGCCTGTATGAATGCCCTAGTGAGGAGCAACAATTTTCTTGATATCGTCTGCAAAGGGAAATGAAAAAAACGACATTCTTTGAAACAAAAGAATAACTAAAGGACGAATCATATCGCAATGATAGATTTTAAAAATTTTATGGCGCGGTGCATGGATCTTGAAGCCGAAACGTTGAATAAAGAATACAGGAAATAAAAAAAACTGTATATTGGGTGACCTTTGGCCTAAAATATATATTAAAAAAATATAAAAAGTATTTTTTAATTGTAAATCAAGTATTTTTTTCCTTTTAATCTGTATTTTTGGTAAATGTGCTTACTTTTTGTTACATATGTGCTATAGGGGAAGGACTTTAGACTGACTAAAACTGCCTGTAGCTTAAAATTATCATAATGTTTTCTATAAATACCTACTGGTTGTGTGTAATGAAAGAAGTTTCAACGAAAAAATATAAGCAGTAACAGTTTAATTTAATAAATAGTAGCCACTGCCAACAGCTAGGATATGCAGTCGTAAATAAATTTTACCGTTAAACAGTTAAGGAAGTATAATAAAAATTAGTGACATATATTTTTCTTTGTCAATGCCTCAATGTAATAATTTTTATAACGTAGTGATACTTTTGTAATAATTGTTTACTTTTTTTCATTATTAGCAATTCTGAATTTTATTATGGGAGATATAAGAAATCAGATTAATCTCGCTCTCGCTTGGATATATGAAGAATACAGTTACATGCAAGGTTTCACCAAGAGGCCTCCTAGCCAGATGGATGAGGGAAAATTCAATGATTTACAATACGATAGCCTTGTAACTCAGATTATGAATGGAATAATTAGAAATAAGGAACTCAAGGAACGTGATGTGTAAGTTTTTTATTTTTATATCGATAACATTTATTTTTTTAAATTTTATTTATATGATATTTACAACTGTGTAAAAAAAAATACATCTAGTAAATTCGCACATGGATATAATGACATGAAACACACGTTGAGAAACTACCCATTGGTAGCACTCTAATAATATGTCTATATTAGGAGATCACGTGGCCATCTTCTTTTCAGACGCCTCGGAGGGTTATCAGGAATTGAATAGGAAGCAAGGTTTAGAAACGAGAGGGTTGGGATGGTTATGAAGTTTATTATAGAAGGACAGATATCTGGATTGGGCCAAATCTGATACATAAGGAATATTCAGGTCATTATGGATGATTTTATTTGTAACAAAGTAAGGAGCATTGAGGATTTTATGAAGGATTTTGGATTGTAATGATTGGATACGAGAGGGATTTGAAGGTTTGGTGGAGCCCCATAGCTCAACCCCGTAAGCCCAAATAGGCCTTATTATAGTCATTTAAATGAGTCTTTTGTAATTAATTGGAAGGTTAGAGCGTTTTTCTAGTAAGTGTTGAAGTAGTCGGAAACATCGAGCTGTTTCTTGTTGTTTCAGTCTGGTATGAAGATTCCAAGCTAGACGTGGAGTCCTAGGTATCATTTATTTATTATTATATTTCTTCTATTGTAACATATCGCTTTATAAGTATCCAGTCTAACTAAGAATAATTTTTTTTTTAAATGCAACATTCACTATTGATAGTTTTGCTTAAGAAAGGTCGATAAACAAATTTTTAAGCGCGTTCCAAAATATAGAATCCATAATCTAGCCAGCCGACTATTGAGTTTTTGGTCGCTTTGAACGACCTTCACTGGCTGCTGTCCACTCAGCTGAAGATCTTTTTGATTCAGGTGTGTAGTAGTGGAACCATGTTTCATCCATTGTCGCATACCGACGCAAGAAATCCTTTTTATTTCGCTTGAGCTTGCAACAAACAGCGCTCTGAATCTTCTGAAATTCTATCGCGGCACCCACTTCTACAGCAACTTCCGCATGCCCAAATATTCATTTATATAAAATTTCAAAGACACTACCTTCTCATATCTTCAAGATGTTAGCTACGTCATGAAACATGCTAGAAAATACATGAAAAATAGCTATGGTCTTGTGGAGATTTTTTATATTTTCCAGAACAACTACCAATTTTGGGCGACCACAGCATTCAGCATCATCGGTGCTTGTACATCCGCGTTTAAATTCAGCATACCAGTCAATAATAGTTTATTTCCCTCGTCCCTACAATGCTTATCAAACCACTGTTTCATTCCGATGGCATTTTCCCCATCATAAAACAGTGTTTAATCAACACAAGAAATTCCTTTCTGCCCATTGTCTTGAAAATTACTAAACTGGGTTCTCTAAAACAACTGTAACGTCTAAAGTAACGGTCGTAATGCCATGAAATTTTGATATATCCTGAAGGTTAGTACTATCTGGAGCTCATGTGGATCTGTCAACAATGTTGTCATCTATGTGTCAGACTGGGGACTTGCTGAGTGATGTGTTATTTAATAATAGCTCAAATTATGTTGCGAATTTTTTTTTTGTCTTGAGGAATTTTAATACAGTAGAATCTTCATTCAGTTTAGGCACCAAGGGTTAAATATGAATGATGAGTTTTGTCACTATTATCTTACTGTCAAATTTCTACTATTGAGCATATCTGACTGCAGCTTTTTGGTTATGTTGTCAAGCAAAAACAATATTCATTTGGCTGAGTTGTTGGATAGTGTTATGGGCACAATAATTATCAATATCATGTATATTCTAATAGACCTTTTCCCCGATCCCTCGCAGCTACCTGGAAGTTACTGCCCTGTGGGTGGGCGTAGGGGATAGTGTCTCAAGAGTCAGTGCAGGACTATCTCTCGATCTCCTCTTGCTAAAAGACAAGTTTAGGCACTAGATAAATAGGGAAGGTTCGAAGGAACTATGGGAGAATATCTAAACAATGAGCAGTGAAGAACGATACTAATGAAAGACAATACTTCATGAGAACACCTTTGGAGATGAAAAATGGTGGTGGTTTTGAACCCCTAAAGGGACAACTGTGTGAAAATATTTTCTCATTATCAGTTTGTTGTAAAAAACAATATTGGTTTTACCTGATGACTGGGTCTCTCAGCTGCTCACAGGACATGAAGGCTGTAGATCAAAGCTCATGGCACAAGAAAAGAACATCATTTCCCTATATTTCAGTTATGGTGTCCTGGAGACCGTCGAACATATTGACGTAGCCTGCAGCGCCTACAAGACACTCAGGCCCAAACTGGTAAGGGAAACTTCTCACCATGTTTTATCAGAATGAATTTCTTCCTGCTCATTAGTAAGGAAAATTGTCCACAAAAAGGATTTTATTTATGACTGGAAAAAAAAAAATTTATGTCCAGTCCAGTTATCCTTGAGGAAGGTAAAAGGAAGTGTACCTGAGAGCCAACGATGATCAAACTGAGGGATGAAATGCTTAGGTTGTGTACACAGCTCAAGATGTAAGTGTAAATGTCTTATTTACTGATGAATTTTTATGGGGACATGAATAACATCTCTCCGTTTTAAATGCCCATATTTACTAATTGACAAAGTAAGGTAAAAATAATATATAAGTAGGTTTTTATCCAGTGCTATCTGTAGCGAGAATGCCAAGAAATAAATATTTACTCACCAAAGCAGGGAGCAAACCCACACCATTCCGAGCCTGGCGCTCTGAAATGCTTTCAATATCATTTCAATGTGCTCAATCATCATTACAATACCTAAAATGATTTTTCATTTGTTTAACAATATGTATAATATTCTATACTTTCATATTAATATTTAAAATATTTTTATTTTATTTTAGGATTTTAACAAGAATCTGCCTTGAAATGCCTCTCCTGACAGATGAAGTAATTAATCTAATAAAAAATTTTAGCACAACCGAAACTTTAGGTTTAAGTATTATTTACAAACTAGTCCTCATGAGGCCGATGAAGCAACTTTACTTTTTAAATGTTCTTTTGGATAATACATCTCATCAGGCATCCGAGGTAATATTAATATTATTAATATTAAAATTCTTATTTGATTATAAAAATGTAATAATGTTGCATGCATCTTATGTAGACTATAAGGGAAAGTAATTTGGTCGTGAACAATTTTGAATCCAAATTCTCGATAGGAATGAAGATTCCGAGGGCTTCTGAGTCAAAATAACCAATTGTTGCTAAATTTTCTGTGTATTAAAACTGCCCACTCAAAAATAAAAAGTATGAAACTAATTACGTATTTAATATATCTATATCCTTGCGATATTACAATTTTTTTTTTTCTAAAATCAGGTTATTGGAAGTGACTCTTAAGATAGCCGATTATACACATTTTTACGATTTTCTTGAAAATGGCTTTAAAATTTTTAATAAACTCGTACTATAAATGTACAGTTAAGTGGGTTCCAATATCAGCCAGGTATTTTTTTCATTAAAATAATCTGACAGCTTGAATACTGAGTTTTCAAAATGATTAATTTTTAATGTAGCTCATTTAAATTAATAACAAATCATTTAAAAAAAATATATAGACTGCTTTTGGAGCAGTCTAGCTGTTGGGAATATGATGATTTAAGCTTATGTTTATCATATTGAAGAGAAGTTTTGGTGATGGCAGTAATGTTGCTACTTTTCATTTCCATTTTTTTTTCATTATATCTGACAAATTGTTTTAAATAAATATAAAAACTATAGAAAAATAAGTTTTTAAAGATAAAAGTAACAAGAGTAATTAAATTGTAGATCTTATAAAAAAAAGTAATGCAAGAATTCAAATGTTTTTCTGTGATTGAATGTTTGTCTTTGATCCTTGATAATTATTATTAAATGATTTTTGATTTTTTTTTTTTGTTTCAGATACGGGAAGCTTCCATTGGTCATGTAGTCGATCTCTACCCGAAAGAAGACCTTCAAACAGTTATAGAAGAATATGCCATCTATTACCTTGGTTTTCTAAAATTAGCCAAACCGCCAGAGACCCTCTTCGGTTTGCACAAGGGTAGACCCCATTTGTCTGAAGTTTGGACTGATGATTCAATAAAAGCTTGTCTCTATCTGTACCTGTCGCTTCTCCCGATCAATCAAGAGTTAATTCATGAGTAAGTACTTTTTAGCAGTAAATTTTTTAAAATATTTTCAAAGTTTACAATTATTAACTGATCTGAAAGATTTACTAAAACTTTTTCTGGTGCCCAGGTATAATATGTGCCTTATATAATGTTTTTTGAATATATATATTTATATATGACCTTCCCCTCCTGATCCTTGATACCCAATACCACATCTATGTTGACAATTTCCAAATATACCTGTCTTCTCCCCTTCTGACCTGTTAGCTGCCACAAAACAGCTTTAGGAAGAATTAAATAGAATGTATGACTGGGCAGGAGGTAACAAGCTGAAGTTGAATGCGGAAAAGACAAAGGCAATCCTAATAAGCTCAATCAACTTTTTATTCTCCTCAAATTTTATCCCACCATCTTTGATTAAACTCTTTCCTGGAAAAACCATGTATTCAATATCTCCCGACGTACATTTTCCACCCTAAAACATTTAAATAGCCTCCGTCACCTTTTTCCTTTTGAAACCCGTAAACTCCTGGTCACCTCCTTAATATTTCTCCATTTGACTATTGCTGCACAGTATATGGAGGCATCTTTGGGGATCTCGAGGCGAAACTAAAATATTTGATAAATTGCTTTGCAAGATTCATCTTCAGGATCCCAAGGAACACCCCTGTTTCCTGTTTTTATAAAGAGTTCAAGTGGCTTTATCCTTCCACTAGTATTTCCTGACATCCTTTCTCTTTCAAGCCATCACTCCTGCCTCCTTCATACATCTCCGAGCTTCTTCAATTTAAATCCTTTGTCCACACCCGTTCCCGGTCTTCAGATTAATATATAATGGTCCACCGAACCGCCGCTTTCGATAAATCTTTTATGTGAGAGACCAATATTTAAGAGTTAAGCAAGAGACCATGTGGATGACCAAAATACAGATTGATAGATTGAATCAATACAATTGTAGTGCTGTATGCAGATAATTGAAAAGAATTAGCCCCGAGATAGGCAGAGATGGAGTAGTCTTGTTGCATACAGAAAAATAAAAATTATGTAATTAAACTGAACCGAATTACAATAAACTTCTTTGCTTAATAACATTTAGAAAATAATATGAAATTAGAAAATATTGAGTATTTAATAGTTGACCGTTGCATTATAAAGGAAGGAGATGGTCCGAGGTTTATATTTGAATGTACTTACTTTCTTTATACTTACTGTTTATAATTTTAATAAGCTTTTTCACATTGTTTTATAATTTGTTGTCTAAATATTATGTAACTTCCACAATTCTCTATCTTTTTGTATCTTGTCCGTTCTAGCCCTGAAGAAGACCTGCAAAGTCGGGTCGAAATGTTGACTTTTAATAAATTAGAAAATGTTTGTATACATAAAAGACAAAACTGTTTAAAGTTAGATAATAAAAAAATACAATAAAATAAGGAAATGAGTTTTAACCAATTTTATATATTGACAGGCACAATGCAAAAGCCTGTAAATGTATAAAATATATTTCTGTATGTGCGGGAGGAAAAGATTGAGCAGAAACATACCAAACTGTACTTTCTAGTTCTTACAGTCTTTTGCTGTCAGAATTTCCGCCATATTTTTTTTTAAATTTACCTTTTGGTCAGTCATATTTTCTTTTTTTCCCCCTCACAACAAGGGTTTTAATTCATAAAAATTGTTTACCTTTTCCCCCCTCTCTACCTTGGATTTTATCTAAAATGGGAACGGTATTTGTCCATTAGCAGGCTGGGATGGACTGCTATCTGCCAATGTTTATAACCTCAACACTGATAATTGTGATAAGGCACTGACAATCCCTATAGCGGACCCTACACGGTCAATCGGAATTGCACTAATGACGTTCCGAATTATCGTGTAAGGTAGTGAATTAAGTACTGATGGTGGTGCGCTGCGGATTTCCAAACATCCGGAAATAAAAGGTTCATTCACGAGAAGTGGAGGGGGGTCTGAGGTAAAAGTAGTGGGGAGACTAACCATACTACTGGATAGGTTAGGTTACCTAGGCCTCACAACCATTATAAATTTCTGATTTTCATTATATGTAAATAGTTAAATAATTTTTCATATACCTTGTTTATAATTTTAAACCATCTTCAACTATTTCTTTTAAATAGTCAAGTGAGCAACAAATTAAAATAAAAACTAACGTTGTGTATATTTATCAGTTCTTTTCCCATTTTCCTCAACAAATTTATTATTTTCGCAATACCTTTCCTTAATTTTTGTAAGTAGTAGACTTATATTTTACTAACTTTTTTCGAAACGATTTTCTATGAGACTATCCTTACTACTAAATAGGTTAGTTTACCTAGGTCTCGTTATTAAGTAAATAATTTCATAAAAGTAAATAGTTGTTTATATCCCTACTCTGTATTATTATTAACCATTTTCAACTATTTTTTTCTTTAAATAGTCAAGTAGGCAATAAATTGAAGAGAAAAAAAAGTGGAAACTTCACAATTTACTTATAGAAAAAAAATCTTTAACTGTTGTTTTTATTTGCCATTAATTTTTCCATTTTTCTTAACAAATTGATTATTTTCGCAATACTTTTCCTAGATTTTTGTATGTAGTTGACTTATATTTTTCTAACTTTGGTCTAAACGATTTTCAGGCACTAGGAAGTAATTATTATATCTCCGTTTTTCTCTTGATGCCCAATATTATAAATGATAATGTCCAAATGAGCATATGTATGCTGTTTCTTTGTTTACAACTGAGCTAAATTGGTATCAGCAACGATAAGTAATGATCAGTAATGATTGAACGTGTAAGGGTCTTCATGATCAAAGCGATTGCGGGCAATCTTGGCACTTCTTGTGATGTTAATTCATGAATTACCTTGTAGGGTCTGCTTATCTGCCAATGTTTATAACCTCAACACTAATAATTCTGATAAGGCACTGATAAGCCTTTTTGTAATTCCTTTCTTCGTATTCATATTTATTGTATTACATTTATTGTATTACACAATTTTTATACAATTTTTGAAATTGTAAACAAAAAACAAAAGTAATAATAAAAAAAAATACTTTTATTTTACGACATACATATTAAATTAATATATATATGTATTAATTGTATAAAAGATGAAAATTAAATAATAAAAAAAAACACTTAAACAACATATGTGCATATAAAAGATGAAAATGAAATAATAAAACAACACTTAAAGAACATATGTACAAAAAACACTTAAACAACGTTAGTACATATAAAAGATGAAAATTCCTTATTGTAACTTTTATGTTACAAGTTCTACGACAGCTTCTCCATTTCGCATTCCTGTCTAACTTCGTTTGATGACCTTCTTCACACAGTTTCACGTTTGCAATTATCTCAATGTTTTGCAAATATTCGAAAAGTCTGTTCTTCTGAAGACGGTAATTCCCAGAATGTGACAAGATCCATAATTTGACAAAAATAACACAAACGGGCCAAAAATAAAGAATTTAATAACTGAAAGGTTTGACGAGATAAGAAGAGGGAGGTAACGTTAGATAACATAGATAACAAGGGAGGTTTCTTCCAGCCCGGCTAATGGATAAGTACCATGGGAACTTTAACAAGTAGAAACCCTGTTTGCAGATATAACAGCTAACTCTGTTTAGTCTGAATGAGGTCCGATTCTATCTACTATATTCCATTCTGTATCGAATCAGGTTTTACATCCGAAGGGCACCCATCTTATGTTAGTAAATATTGAAATATTCATTATCAACTAATATAAAAAAATTATACCCTTATTTTATTATATTAATTATTTTAATATCCAAGAAAAATATCATTTAAAGTATGTCTAAATAGTTAGTTTCATCTGGAAAACTTGTCCAGAATTCCTGGATCTTTTGACGTTGTCCCTTTATATTTAAGTTTGGATTGTCAATATTTTTTACCAGAATGTTGATTCTTTTTTTACAGATTGTCTAGAGTCTACATTCAAACCCAGGCTGATGTTAAAAGGACAATTTTACGAGTCGTCGAGTATTCCGTCAAAGCAATGGGTATGGATTCACCTCAGCTTCTGAAACTCGTCGAGGAATGCCCGAAGGGTTCTGAAACTTTAGTGACTCGCATTATCCATATTTTGACAGACAAGTGTAAGTAAAGAACTAATGTTTAAAATTTAAAAAATTCAACGATTTTTAATTATGTGAAATGTATAAATATATTTTATTATTGTTTTTTTTTTAGCTGCTCCTAGCGCAGAACTCGTGGACCGAGTAAGAGAATTATATCGAACAAGAGTTTCTGACGTACGCTTCCTCATCCCAGTGCTGAATGGTCTGAAAAAAGGCGAAATTATTGAAGCTCTTCCAAAACTGATTAAGTTGAATCCGGTTGTTGTTAAAGAGGTATTTTTACTTTTATTTATTAAGCTCCCTCAAAGTTTTATTTGAGAACTTAAAATGAAGCTTAATTAACAGATGTAGAAAAAAAAAGAAAGGATTATGCAATAGGAGTATTTCATGCTAAGTATTGAAATCTCTTAAATGTGCAAAGTTGAGAAAATTATTTATGAAATATGTGTTAAATATGGCCGCTAGCACTCTCGATTTTATCGCAGCCTGTAAATTGTTGCTAACTTCGTAAACACACAGAGAAGGTTATTGTAAGGTTTTGATGTGTTTGGTTCTTTGTCTGTATACAATATCCAAAGAATCAGCATGTAAAAACAGCTAGGATTTCATCTATGTATTCATTAAGTTCTTTGCCTTCTGAACCTTCATTCATGCTTTCTAATAAAATATTTTTAACCAATTAATGCAGCAACTCAGTCTTTTCACTACGCTTTGCCATTTTAAAATATTAGTAGATCAATTAAGAACTCACAAACTTTGTTTACAGTACAGGAATAACCTTACTATAACTAATAACACCTTAGCACAGATTGGTTATTTACAATTCGCTCAAAATTTGTACTGACTGCTTAGCATGATAGCACATAGCACTTTAAGCATTTACAAGTGCATGAATACTCCTATTATAATAATTAACAAATCAAAATCTGGACTAAGCATTTATTTTTCCACAACAAAAAAATAATAAATAATAAAAAAAATTAACCGTCAATGAAACCGCTAATGAAAAATTACTAGCCTGCATTAGGAAAGTTTAAAATGGAGTTGGGCTTCTCCTGTTGATATTTTTTAACAGTATCTTATATTTCTGAATTGAGAAATTAGCCGTTAGTTCATCTTTTCATCAGCTACCATTCGTTTTGACATCTTTTAACTCTTTAACTGCTAACGATGGTTATAGCCACAGGAACTGAACGTGACCCTGTTGCTGAAGTCAGCTATAGCCGGTGCTCTTCACTCCTATCCTCAGTGCTCATGTCGTCTATAGTCGTTCCACTGCTATTCTTTCTATTTGCTAATGTCCAGTATAGAGCCTACAGATGGCATTTGGATTTTTTTGTAGAATTCATGAACCTGTAAATAATATGATAATAGGTTAATTGTTAATAACCTTTTTGCCGGGCAGTTGCAAATAGCTTTCCGTTTAGTCGGGGGACTAGATTATTTACACTGGTGAATATTAAAACAAACCAGCATTGAATAAAGACTTTTTGAGTGTGTTTAACTGTTGTTGGGAATTTGGGAACCTATTGCTTTTTTGTGACACTGAGTGACAAGAAACAATACAAATATTTATATATATGAATTGTGGGACTGAGTAAGTACACTTTGAATGAATTGACTCACCTGGTTTGTTATTCTTCAATTGTGAGGCATATAGGACAACTAAATAAATAAATGACTTTTCACTCCTGTATAACAAAACAATTTATTTTACAACTGTAATAAGTGAATATATTAGTCTTATAACTGTAGGCTTGATATTCTTAGTCTTCAGTGTTGTGCCTCTCTCTTCTGACCACCTCGTTTCTTCTTGTCCAGGCCTAGGGTGCCTTCTCTTCTCAGGTGACGTCCTTTCGCCTTCGTGTCCCAGCCTCAAGTGCCTTCTTCTCTCTCTGGCGTCCTTCTCCAACTGCTGCTACCTGGCCGGACCTTTTTCCTTCTTCATCTGTTGTTTATCGATATGAGACTTTTCAATGAACAATTTCTCCACTGCACAATGGAGTACCATTCATCATGCAACCTCACATTCCTATATATTCCTTCTCATTTCCTCACACAATGTCACATAAAGGAGTAAATACAGGGGGATATCTACTACAAACCGTTATGGGTGACTATCTGCTACGGCTTTTCTCTGCCTGTCTCAACCATTTTCTTTCTTGTTTTTTGCGTTCCGTTTGAAACAACTGTGTGTCCAACTACTCTGAATTTATAAAAATGCTAAATATACGAAAGATTGAATCATGTGATCAGAATCTGGCTATTCCATTGGCAGTTCAGTAGACCCTCACTTTTGAAACAAACATACGCTTCAGATACTGTTTTTGTTAAGTTTTAACGAGCTGTTAAGTTTAGAGCTAAATTTAACATACTTACACTTTTTTAAAATATTAATTGATTATTATCTTAATAATCTTAATCACTTAATATTATTTTACAATTTAATAGAATGAGAAAAATGCTTTAAGAATTAATTAATATCTCGATTTCGAACTTGATGACAGATGTCTGTCTTACTTATAACCAAAATACATTATTTTCATTTGTAATTTATAGTTGCGGTATTTTCTAGGTTTTCAATAGACTGCTAGGAACGCAGGCCGATTCTACCGGTCACTCCTCTCCAATAACTCCCGCTGAACTTCTTACAGCTTTGCACTTGATAGATCCCACGAAATGTGAACTGAAAACCATTATTAAAGGTAATTAAAAATGTCATCCCTTATCAGTCATGTTGAATATTTGTTAGGATAATGTTTTAAAATATCGAATAATAATATTGTTATTTATATAAACATTCATTAGTCTATATAAATACTTTTTCCTTTTCTTCCAGCTACTTCCCTATGCTTCAGCGACAAGGAAGCGTATACACAAGAAGTTCTGGCAGTCGTTTTACAACACTTGATGGAAGTGACGCCACTTCCAACATTGCTTATGAGGACTGTCATTCAAGCGCTGTCGTTACATCCTAGGTTGATAGGATTTGTTATGAATATACTTCAGAGACTCATCAGCAAGCAGGTATTTCATTTATTTTAAATTTGCCACTTCATTTTCATGTTACTTTACGAGTCTAGATTTGATTAAAATGACACTATTGACGCTACTGGTTCTCCTTTCAGATTGAATGTATTTTTTATTTAAAAATGCTATAACTTCGTTTGTCACCTTTTTCACTTTCATTTTTACTCGTTTTCTCTGTTAATTTGTTTTAACTACATTAAGAAATATTTTTTTTTATCAAATTATTAACATCCACCTGAAACTTCATAAATAGCTTCATCTCATCGTAACCTATAAATATTTTATGCAGAGAAGAATAGTTAGGGTGATCAGTCAAATAAGAAGGCAAAAATAAATATTATCATTTATTTTTTGCCTTCTTATTTGACTGATCACCCCAACTATTCTTCTCTTCATTATTTAAGACAGTCAACTATTTAACCACTATTATAAATATTTTATTTATGAAAATTCTCAGAATTGGTCATTTTCAATCTGAAGATTGTCAAACTTTGTCTATTTAATTTATTACTAAAAATCCATAAATACTCATTTGTTTTTCATTTATATCATAAGATAATTTGAGAAAAAATGTGGCCTTAAAAAATATTGAGCCGTTCGGCGGGACCTACAATTCCAAAATGTTAAATTAACAAGGTTGTATTGGGCCAAATAGCCCAATATTTTTGTAGGCCACCTTTTTTCTGGTGTTTGTGCTCAAATTATCTTACGATTCAAGTAGAAAACAAATGGGTATTTACAAGTTTTTAGTACCTAATTAAATAAAAAAAAAGTAAATAAAATATTTATAGGTTAAGATGAGAAGAAGCTTTTCATGAAGTTTCAGATGGATGTTAATAATTTGGTAAAAAGGGGTCTGCACAACTGACTAATAATTTTTTTTATTAAATGACCTGCAACCAAAAGAAATGGTGAGGTAACCATACAGACCCTAATTTGCACACCTATTTTTTATAAATAAATATTAAATGTTTTTATTATTTAATTTCAGGTCTGGAAGCAAAAAAAAGTTTGGGAAGGTTTCATCAAATGTTGCCAGAGAACCCAACCTGCTAGTTTTCAGGTTCTTCTTCAACTTCCTCCGCAGCAGCTGATTGATGTCTTCAAAGAAGCTCCCGATTTACGGAAACCTCTGCTTTCTCACATAATGGAGTTCACTGAAAATCAGGTATATTAATTATTGATTATTTATCAGAATAATTAGTTAGTTAAAAAGTCACATATATATCTGTGGTTTTTATTATCATTATTATTATTAATATAATGGGAATTGATGTTTTTATTATCCTGGGACTGTTGTCCCATTAGGGCAAATTATAGTTACGCAATAAATGCCTGTGTGGCCAAACATTAAATTATATATTTACAAATCTTATTAAAGTTATAATATTAGAAGAAGAGAAAAACAAAGACAAAAACTTACTGATATATATATATAAAACAAACATGGGAAAATTAAATAACATAAGTGAGCAAAATCATTTCTGGGATAATGATGTAGAGATGGTTGATATAATATGAGAAGGAGTTAATCGGAGGGTGCGGTCAAATAAATACTAAATTAAACAGATAGTAATTATTTAATTTTTGCCGACGTTTCGACCCACTTTGCAGGTCGTCTTCAGGGCGTAGGATGTAGCACTGCGGGAGGCAGTTGAAACACTCACTCAACACCCAACACTGAGTGTTTCAACTGTCTCCCGCAGTGCTACATCCTACGCCCTGAAAACCTGCAAAGTGGGTCGAAACGTCGGCAAAAATTAAATAATTACTATCTGTTTAATTTAGTATTTATTTGACCGCATCCATATATACAGATGGTATTGACAGTGTATGATGGAAAAAGGGTTTTTGTTTGAGTGATTTAGTAAATTTAAAATAATTATTAAAATTTTAACTTGATCCCTGTACTAGACAATTATATCAATTTTTCTGTAGAGGGGAAGGCGATATGTCTATAAATGGACCAGGTTGTTTCATTTAGAATCATGGTGTCGTATCAAAAAGTAGAGAATAAACATTGCAAGGCTTAACGGACAGGGCATATTGCAATGTTCAACTTATTTCAGTTTGTCGTCAAAAGTTTATACATCCGATAGATTAAGTGGTTTTGGAAATAATATTAATCTGAAAGAAAAGATTTATGTACGAGAGACAAAATTACCAAAATATTTTATTTCGAATTCCATTCCATTTGGATTTTCACTGATCTGGACTTGGTCCATTCCCGTCTAATCCAGATTAGTGGTTTCATATTTTTTCCCATGATTTTTTTTTTTTTATAATTAATCAATTAATTATTTTTTCAGAGGGCTCATATTCCTCAAAACATTATGGACATAATTAAAGGGCAGGAGGAGAGAGCAAATATGGATTTCCATATAAAAGAAGAACCGGTATGTATTTATTATTTTAAAAAAAAATTAAATTAATTTTAATTAATTATTAATTAATTTAATGCGTTTTTTTTTTAGCTATCACCTGCTTCTGAGCTGACGATCGATATCAAGGAAGAACCTCCAGACACGTTCAGCGAACCTGCGCCGCCTGGATTAGAGTAGCTCAGGAGATATCTGTACATTCAATGTTTATGTTCATATACAGTTGTACATTTATATCCATGGCATCCATTTATATTTATGTATATTACAATTATAATTTTTTTTCTATGGTGGATGTTTGTAAATAGTGAACATCATTCATTTAATTATTATCGAATAAATCTTGTTAAAATTTGATTAGATATTAATATATATATATTTTTTATTTATAATAAGATCATGTTTTTTATTATTTTGTGAGATCAAATCTATATTTGGTTCTGGTATGAATGGAGGATAAAACTCTTTAAGACTTAAAAATTTTAGCAATTTTTACTCAATGAACAATTTTATTTTTACTCAAAGACTGTGGTAACATAATATTAAAAAATTAAAGTTGAGCAACTCGCCTTGCTTCAAATTGTAATAATCAAATTGAGTAATAGAAGAAAATTCTTATTATGTTCCTTTATTATTTATATATTTTTATAATAATAAATTGCTTTCAACAGTTTTATTTTGGTTTATAATTTCAGTATCATCAAATTAAGCTTTTTTGTTTTAATATTTTATCTGTGTGAGTTGTCTCGCATTAGTTAGCTATCCTTCTCTTTACTACATTCAAAGTATAAGCATATAATTTGATATTTTTATCATCTGTTCATAGCACTTAGAGGTTTATCTTATTTTAATTCCCAATCATCTTGACTAATTAGAGTGATTGAGTTGGTATACATAACGAACTATACAAAGAAAATCTTTTTATGTTATGTTCCTTTACTGTTTAATATGTAGAACTAATCTATATCTAAATGGTGAGATAAATCTTATCAATGCAGAAGTTTTTTGAAAAGTACCATCAGTCCTTCAGAATTATTCCGAAAGGATCATTCAACACTAAATCACAAAAAATGAAACTAAAAAATAATTATTAAGAATATTTTTTATTTATAAGATACCTATTTCTGTCAAGATGAATTTGTTATCTACAAGGGTAATGAGCAAATATGATATTTAGGAGAACAGAACACAACCGAATAAAAATCTACTAAAAAATAAAAGACTAGTAAATTACGAAACTAAACAAAGAAAAAAAAGGTAAGTAACATAATTAGCAAGCAGCTCAATGCAGTATGTTTCTTGGCCAGTGCCTCAGCAATCTTCTTAGGATTATATGGATTTGTAGTAGTAAATAGAGCCTGCTTAAGTGGATTTGATTATAGAGTCAATTTGTCATGAAAATTATTAAAACGGTCTGTAGCAGCTGCTGCGATAAAAGGAATATCAAGGTCAGTGTAGAACGTAAGATTAGAAACATAAAAAGGGGCATCTATAAAGAAAGTTAAGAAAAAGCATTATGTTATGCTTATATATTTGTTTAAAGAAATCTGTTGGGTGCTAAAAACTCAACCATTTACTTTCCACTTGGATCCTAAGATAATTTGATCACAAAATTGATAAAAAAGATGGCCTATAAAAAATTGGATCATTTGGCCTATATAACCTCGTTATTTTGACATTTTGTGGGTGCAGTTCATGCCAAACGGCCCAATATTTTTGTTGGCCACCTTTTTTCTCCATTTTGTGGTCAAATTATATTAAATAAACAAAGTTTGCTGATAAAATTGAATACGCCCTGATTCCAAAAATTTTCATAAATAACATATTTGTAGGTTGCGATAAGATGAAGTTATTTACGAATTTTTAAATTGATGTTAATTTGATAAAAAGGAGTGTGTACCATGAACTATTAGCTTACCATCTTATTTTCAGTTGAAATTAATTTTTTTTAAAGTTAGTAAAGCTTAAGAATTTTACTTATAAATACAAACTTCTTTTTCTTTCTCTGTATGTGCCTTTCATCATGGAAGGTGCCTCAGTACATGAATCTCAGGTTTTTTGGTCCTGAGTTAGAGAAGTGGTTTTAAATATATTTTCTAGCGAAATTCTATTTAGTTTCCATAGAAACGCTTATTTCCCATTTAAAAACAGAAAAGTTGATATTATTAGATTTACCAAGGTTTTGACCCAAGTATTCGGGTCATCTTCAGGGCTAGAACTTAAAAAATTACATCTTAAACTCAAAATATAGACAGAAATATATAAATAACCCTATATAAAATGGTAGTAAGTACATAATGGTAATTACACAAGATAATGGTTATGTAAACATAATATTATACGAAGAAAAGATAAAGATACAAATAAAACAATAAAGAAGTATAAAAATAGTACAAATAAAATAACTAAATATAAAAATAAACAAGAAGTATGCACAAAACAACAGAGCTAAGATTAACCGGTGAATTTTTTTAATTATAAAAACAATTAAAATACATTAGAGCAACGTTATGTGGTAAGATTTAATAACTAAAAAAGAATAAGTATATGGAACAACAGAACGAATCAAAATGTCGAAAAACCTTATAAATCATACATTGACTGAAAATCCTGTCTGTTTGTTATCCTCGTAATTTTAAAATAACAGTTAATTATGTATCCATTCCTGATTGAATTATCTTTTATGAAATACAAGAAGAATAAAGAAGTGCTCGAGTCATAAAAAAAATTATTGTTGGAGATATTCAGAAACGTTTTTAGAAATTGCTTAATGTAGGTGTCATTCATTTCTCTAGAGAGAGAAACCCTTTATTTTCATATAAAAGAATGCTACCCAATTATATTGGATTGCTAGATACACAACATACTATTTAATCTAAGACAATCAATAAAACTTAAATATATAAATATGCAGAACTAGTTGAATATATATGATTATAATAAATACATATACACAAGGTGTCCGGTAAGTAGAGGGAAAATTTTTATAGGAGTGATATACCAGACTTCAAGAGCTACAAAAAAGTTCATATAAACAATGGGCCAATTTTCAGCAGAAAAGTAGAAAATCCAAGTTTTGTGTTTTTTTAAGTAAGTATGTTTTTTATTAAATCGAAAGCAATAACTAAAGAGATATTTAATGTAAGTAATTAATAATTGCTTCATTGTAGACAAGATGAAATTTATTTTAAATGAATATAGAATTTATATTTGTTAATACCATTTACAGAGGACTTTTGAGTGGCTAAACTAAGCTAAATTCTGTTTTTAGAAAAATCATAAATTATACGCCTTTTTTTTTTATCATCATCCAACTATACTACAGTTTCTCATCTTTTACTAAAACTTCTTCGTTTAGTAAGTTTTAAATTTGTAATAATTAAGTTGAGCTTTGTTAGGAAAAAAATCGAGATTCAGCTCAAGTTTAAAAAAAAATTAAATTTTTTATCCTGTTAATTAACAGTACTTTTACTTAAAAGTACCCCTGTTTTTAACGAAAATGACTACAATTAATTGTTACGAAGCTTTTATTTTTGTTTTTTCCATAATCTGGGATGTATTTTAATTAACCCAAACAGACCTTTATTTATAAAAAATAATAATTCGAAAAACACTGATTTTTTCCGGTTTTAATTTCCGAAGTTCCAGTTTATTTTAGGAATTGATCCGAATTTATAAGTGACAAACTAAGCGTTCCTGATCCTAATATTAACGTTTAAATTAAAATTATTGAAGCAATCAGCAGTTTCTTTGTTTTATTTCAAACAATAAATTTTATGACTAGAAAATATAATTATTGAAGTGAAAATACAAATGAAACAATATAAAATTAAACAAACAATACTTGTTAAAACATAAAACAAATAAAATATAATTATAATATATCCTTTTTAAAACAAAACTTTAAAATTCTTTGATAAAGTAATAAAATAATTCTTGAAACAAAATATAATTGTTCAAATCAAAACAATTTTGAACCAGGATTCTTTATCTCTGTCCATTTTCATCTGTTTGTTTCCACTCTCTATGAACTAGAGACTTGAAAAAATACTTCACAACTTAAAACTTTATTTTCCTGTTGTTTTGGCTGTTAGAGCATTATTCCGTGGTTTTAAAAAGAATTGTATTTTAATTTAAATTTAATATGACATGTTAAGAACTATTTCTCTTAAAACCATTGAATAAACTTAAGGTGGTCTAACAACCGACATGTCAGGAAAATAAAGTTTTACAGTATGTATCTTTCTAGTCTTAAGAATTACTAGTAAATGGCATTTCTTCATCTTAAACATAAATCATTATAAAAGTTAAATTAATATGAGAATTACCAGGACAAGTTTTTTTAAACAATTTTATTGTTCTTAGCTTAAGAAAGAGATATCTTGTAATGACATCCATACATTAATTATAAGAAATAATTTGTGATTAAAAAAAGAAAGGATAATATATCACAAAAAGTTAGTTGTTAAATTAAAAACTGAAGAAGTACCGAAATAAAAAGATCACGGGCCGCTCCGGGATTTGAACCCGGGACCTCCTGCACCCAAAGCAGGAATCATACCCCTAGACCAAGCGGCCACTTGAGGTATTTCAGCCATATTATATTACATCATGTTAAATATATATGACAAAATACAAAGGCATATTAAAACAGAGGAGTTAATGATTTTTTTTATGAGAAGAGAGCAATAAATTTTCCTGGGAGGAGATAAGGGGCATGTGTTATCGACCTTAGGGAGATGGACACTCCTGCTCTGTTGAAATACTTGTTTTTAATTATTATATTTTTCGCTTATTTCTAGTTTTTTGGACTGCATATGATTTGGACCATAAATAAATTATATATATTTATGAGAAGGAGTTGATCGGGGGTGCGGTCAAATAAATACTAAGTTATTGAAATAGTATTATTTAATTATTATGCCTACGTTTCGACCCACCACCTTGCAGGTCTTCATCAGGACTACAAAATATAAAAGGTACATAGTGAAACTAAAATAAATTAATAATAAGTAGATATTAAATAAGAAAAAGTTGTTTCTATAATTTAGTATTTATTTGACCGCACTCCCCGATCAACTCCTTCTCATATTATATCACGGTCAACCATCTCTACATTATTATATATATTTATGCTTGCATCTTTTTTTTTCCCGGTACAGTTCAATTTTTTAATAGTTGTTCTTTGCAGATCCTTTCACTTAAAAAGGGGAAGTATTGGATTTAGGATTTGCTTTTGTGGTTTTTCTTTTTTTTCTCTTTCTTGTTTTCTATAACGATAATTATTGTGGAAGAAAAAGGTAAAAAAATATGTATGAAATAATTTTTATATGTTCCTTGAATGATTGTTAAAAAAAATCCTTGAATTATTAATCGCGGTAGAGACTTCTTTTTATCAAATTATTTATAACCGTCTAAAATTTCGTGAATTATTTAATCTTATGGTAACCTACCACTCATTTATTTACGAAAATCCTAGGGAATAAGGGGATTTCAATTTGGAGTTCGGTATAGGCGGATCTACGAGGGAAAGGGGGGGGAGGACTTTCGGGCTGAAGCCCTCCCCCTAAATGGTACAATATAAACATGTTTTAGGAAAAAAATTATCTCTAAAAGTATTATTATTCATCTAATTATATTTAATAGAACTTCAAGAACCACTTAACCACCATTTCTTCCGAAGTAATTATCATAAGATATATATACAAAAAATCTT